CAGAATTTTTTGAGTTAATCTTGTACCTGCCACATTACTGAAGGAGTTTATCAGCTGTAGGAGTTCTCTGGTTGAATTTTTGGGGTCACTTATGTATACTATCATATCATCTGCAAATAGTGACAGTTTGACTTCTTTCTTTCCAGTTTGAGGGGTGGGCAATGGAGGGTAGGGGATAAGGGATGAGAATATAAGGTAGTGGGATGGTCAAGCTGGAACAGGCATGGAGTGGGAAAGCAACGAAAGAGATACCATGAGAGAGGGAGAAATCATGGGGATAGAGAGAAACCTGGTGCTTGGGAAGTTGCCAGGAATCTCCAAGGATGATCCCAGCTTGGACTACTAGAAACAGTGGAGAGGGTCCCTGAACTGAACTGGCTTGTCCCAGTGATTAGATTGGTGAATACCCTAACTGTCACCATAGAGCTTTTTTCCACATCCACAGCCAAAAACACTAGGCAGAGCTCCAGGAGTCCAGTAAAAGAGAGAGAAGAGGGATTCTATAAGCAAGTGTATCAGGATCATGATGGGGAAATCTGCAGAGATGACCAAACCAAACTAGAGGGAACTCATGAAAGTTGGATCAACAGATCTAGAGCCTGCATGGGACTGGACTAAGCCCTCTGCATGGTGAGACAATTGTGTAGTTGGATCTGCTTGGGGGGCTCCATGAAAGTAGGATCAGAATTCATCTCTGGTGCATGAGTGGGCTTTTTGGAGCCCACTACCTATGATGGGACACCTCGTGCAGCCTTACCCTATCTACTTCCCCTCCTTGAACCCTTTCTTCTCCTTATTCTCCCTCTCACCATTGGGCCTTGAGTGTTCAATAAGTTCACACAATTTATCCACCAGAGATTGGAGGCAATTAAGATAAATCAGGTCGAGGTATGCTACCAAAGATTAGCCACACAGTAGTCTGGTCCCTCCCATGGCTAGGTATCCTCCTATGAGCGCCCTTCTTCTGCTCTCCACTTGACCAATGATGGGTAATCTCTCAGGTGGGCTGAGATGACCTAAGACAGGTCATAGAGTGACCCCCCCCTCCCATCTCCTATTCACGATACATGGTACTCAATGATGGATAAGGTCTCCAAGTGGGGGATGACCTAACACCGGGGCCATGTCTTACAAAAGGGGGAGGTGCTGGGCCCCATAATGCCCGGGCATGAGGCCCAGTGTAACTTCCTGAGCCTAGCTTGAGTTTGGCGACCTGTCTTCAGACATGACTTCCACATATGAGTGACTCAACACTACGGGACCTAGAATCACCTCTGCCTAGTAACTGTTGAGATGGCATCATCTCATTGCCTGCTATCCTCACCCTATCCCCCCGCCTACCATCACCCCAACCTATATAAGTCCACTCCTGATGCAATAAAGTGAGTTCCTGCTTTGACAAGACTCCTGGCCCAGTGTGCTTCTCTCTGGTAGACAGGGGTGAGAGGGGTGGGGCGTGGGGTCTGGGCCTTCGACACTCACCATCCCGCTCAGCCCCAAGGGAGAGAGTAGCTGGACCAGTCCTGCCTCTGCCCTACCTGGTGGTCAGACAGACAGTACACTACCAGAAGGGCGGGGATCGTCAATCTCACCCAGCCATGAACCCTATAAACTGTGAGAACCACTGGCCTGGCAAGACACGCCCACTGGTACAATAGTAGCACAAATGTCACGGAAGGAGCCAACCACTCTCTGACTGCATTTAAGTCCTACTACCCAAGATGAAACCCACATTAGACATCATTACAGGGCCAAGAATCTGTGGCTAACCATGCCATAGGACCAGAGGAGAACGCATTATTCTGCTGCTTAAGGACATAGTGATAAATCAACTGATATTGATGTATCTTTATACTCACAGATCAAAGCGTCTCTCAGCCCCTGTCAGAGAAGCCTCTCCTTGCAGCAGAGGGTGATTAGCACAGACCCCACCACTTGCTGAAGTGCAGAGGACAATAGACTCGAACTGCTAATTTATTCTTTAGAGAGTCCATTTAGGGAAGGACCTAAATGTTCAATACCAAGTTATAGGTGAGAAATACCCCTGTTAGACTAGAAATGGATTTCTTAAGGATGGCTTGAAGTAACAGAAACTACAAAAGAAATGACTGACATGGTTAAGCCCAAAGGTTCTGTACAGTAACAGTCTCCATGAAGTATAAAGAAACCCAGAGACATTTCACCAGTAATGGAGTGCTTAAGATATGAGGAAGACATTGCATGGCCAATGGTAACTGAGCAAGGGGTAGAAATAGTTAAATGAACAGAGTAGAGAAAAAGACCAACTCATACCTTAGCAAGGGGCCAGAAATGAGAATATTTCAGTCACATTATGTCTTCACAAACCCACCAATACCCACATGTAAAAGACTCACCAACTCATTGAGGGGGCGTAGGTTTTTATCCATAGAGACAACCCGAAACTTGACTGGAGAAAGAGAGAGAGAGAGAATTTTCTAGTGAGGTCCAGAGAGCCAGGCCTTCTCTGTGCCATGTTCATGATGGCTTCTTCACTCCATAGCCCGTGATGGACCTTCGTACCTGACTGTCCTGGTTTGTACACGGGTTTGTCTGTCTGGACAAAGACAACACTTTCTTTGTTCTGCACCAGCACTGTACTCTTTTTGTTGAATTCGTGTGTCGGTCCTTTGATGTGGACAGAGAGGGACACTTTCTCATCTGAAGCTGAGACTCTGGGGAGCTGAGGACAAGAGGAACACAAGAAGCTTTGGAGGTCTTAGATTTCCTTTTTACTTCCTGTCCTTCCACACCATAGGGAGGAGATAGGGGTCCCTCAGTTTCTGTTTAGTTACTATGTGGAGGAGGATATGTCAGAAACAAAGTATGAAAAGAAAAACACAACATTTCATATGAGTCAGTGGAAGCAACAAAGACACAGTCGTTTTTATGGAGTAAATATAATCTTGATTGAAAATTAGATAGAAATGTGGAACTTAGGTAGAGCAAAAACTAACATATTGATAATGGTAGGAATTGCATCTTGAGGATAGGTGCAGAAGAGGAAACCCAGAACTTAGTCAAAATATCAATTACTCATAGCTGATGTGGTTCTGATTAGCTGGAGTGCTAACTGGAAGTTTATAACTTACTAGCAGCAAGTACTACACAGTGGCAAACCCTTCTTTCTCTGGGCGTTAGGTTCTTTGAGGAACTTCAGCGGGAAAGCAGCACATGCACAAGTATTGGCTCTCCCTGTTTGGGGTGGGGATAATCTATGCTATTTGTTTATTGGGTAAATGTTCTAAGTGTCTATTGTTTTGAAGTAGTAGCTGTGTTTCTAGATTAATCTCCTTTAGATAAATGTAAGTATATTATAAATGCATCTACACACATATGTACATAAATATAGAAAACAAACAGGCACAGGTATCTAGTACTCACAGTGAAGGAGTCACAGTGGAACTTGTCCTTGTCGACCACAAACTCATTGGAAAGACTTCTGGTTCCCCAGCTAGACTGCAAGGAGGCCCTGACAGTCACTGTCTCATTCAGATCGTGTAGATTGAAGCAGATTTTCTCAGGGGTCTCAGTGTAGAGCTGGGAAGGGACCAGCACCATATACTTCCTGGAAAGGGAAAAGTTGAGGCCAGCTGGGGACAGATATCATTGTCCATGGCTGTAGTTTCTTCACAATAATCATCACCATCCAAGATTCTCCAGCCTGAGATGGCAGGTGACAGCATGATACTCCAGAGTGGTCAATTATCAGTGTTTGTAATGGTAATCACTCAGCTTCAGCAGTGATATCTATCAAGGTACCTTCATATGGCATGGACTACCGTCACTTAAGCAGCGAGCATTCAAGTGCTGGAAGGTTTTTAAATTTTTTTGATAAAAATCTGGGAGGATAAATTATTCTTTTCATAAAAATTTATCAAGATTGTTCTTGATTACCATTTTTAATTCTTGAAAAATAACAGTACCCTGTTTTTATTTTTGGTACACTTAAACCTAAGACGTATAACGTGACTGCAATCCAGAGTAGCTTGATTCATATATGCTATAGTTGAACATGTGCCACAGGCTATCTGCAGGAATTGTTCTCTACCTTTTTCTGGCATTAGAGTTTTTTTGTACCTAAAACAGACCAAAATTTAGACTGTCACCACTACATCACATAATAGAAAAAAAATCAAAAGATTGCTTTTATTTTTACCACTTTAATTATATTTTCCTAATTAAAAAAAGTGACAAGAAAAGTCACTCAACAATATAATCCCGATAATGTGGTTATGTGGGCACCAAATAGCAAGTTCTACTTGTAGTTTAATCCAAGGTCTTTGATCCTAACAGGAGTGTTGTTTTAAGACACAAACATCCACAGAGTTGCAGTGTGCCTGAATCCTTACCCATCCCAAGGTTAAACTATAGGCTACACATTTCCAACCCAAAGTGCCAACAATGTAAATCCTTATCTTCAAAGAGATGAAATGGTTTCAACACAGAAGAGTGTCTCTGACCACTGGGATTTTAGATATTAGTGGTACAGTCATAAGAGGAATGCTACTCTAAATCACATCACACCTCAGTTTAGTAACACAGATTGCTTTAGAATTGGAAAAATAATATCATAGAATCATGTAATACTAAAGTTGGAAAGCATACATGTAATTATCATTTGTTAATTGAAAAACAAAAAGGATATAGAGAAGTTTTTGGGAGAAGGGACTGTGAAAGGAAATGGATGGTTTTGATTGGAGGAGGAACACCATGGAAGAGGCCTTGGTGGTACTCACGGTTGTCCAGGTGATAAGGAAGCAGAGGTCAGGAAGGCAAGAAGAACTGAAATCAGACATTGCAGAGCCTGTCTGTCCTTCCACATGGTGTAGGAAGGAAGAACAAGAGGACAGGGCCTATGGTGTCTTTTCTTTGATGGGGTTTCCAGAGATGTCCTTGATACACAGTGCTTTATTTATGAGTGCTCTGTGTAAACAGGAATCTCTGCCCTAGGTGTCCAAACAGACAAGTGGAATTTTGCAAGAGTTTTCCGTTAGTGTCACTGTATTCAGTGGTGGCCTCTGCACAACTCAAATAAGTTGCAACAGTCTCAGGAACGGTGCCAGAGAATCTTGCATGGTGTTGGTGAAGGATCAAGGGCACAGAATCTACTTAGTCTGAATTAGAGCAGACTTTCTCAGTCTTCCTACTACCCGCCTGTAAATCTTTGCAGTGTGTGGCTGTGCTATGGTTGTGTGACATTGGCTACCTCACTGCTTCTGGTCACCTGGAATCCAGCAGCACTCCCTGGGAGGTGACAACTCCAGTTTCTCTGTTTCCTCATGCGAGAAGTCACTAGAGTAGTCCAGGTTGGAGATTTTCAGTTCTTCTGTCTCTAGTCATTCAAGTATCTGCCTTCATGGGTGCTGTGTGTAAAAGGGGGACAGTGGATACTGGGCAAGCTCAAAAACTCACCTACTACAATTTACCACACCTGACCCTTCTTTGTTAGAACAGAAACTCACCAAACTCATCTACAGGTACAGTTGAGAAACTTTATCTCTGTGGTCTACTAGGAAGCCAAATATAATCTGTGCAACTAGAGGTGATTGCTTTAAATGATTTAAATACATCAGTATTTTGGATACAACTGAGTTCCTTTGGAAGGACATTAAGGTTTGAGTTTGGAAGTACATTAGCATTTCTAATCTAGATCATGGGACTGTTTATTTTTGCCGAGATCTTATGGCATTGACTTGAGAGGAAGGTACAGCATAAGCTAGAACAACTATAATCTTGAGGCATTAAGGAAAAAGAAAGAACATTTCTGTGGAATAATCCTCTGTAAAGATTTGTCACTTTAAATGGTTTAATAAAATGCAGATTGGTCAATAGCCAGGCAGGAAATATAGGTGGGGTGACCAAACTAAGGATGATTGGAAGGAGAAGGGCAGAATTAGAAGTTGCCAGTAGAGACAGAGGGAGCAGAAGATAAATGTGCCATGCTAATAAAGGTATGGCCACTTGGCAGAGCATAAATAAGAAATATGGGTTAACTTAAAATGTAAGACCTGGTAGTAATAAGCCTGAGCTATTGATCACGTATTTATAATCAATATAAGCTCCAGAGTGGTTATTTTGGAATAGGTGGTTCAGACAAGAAACTTCCAATTACAGAACATGCTAAAACATGATGTAGGGTATGTATGGAAAGGTTGAGAGAGAAATAAAACCTCTATATTTAATTGATTGACTTCTGAACCCCAATTAATCATCAGTTGGAAGCCCCAGCAAATCCTGCACTGATCCTTTTTGTCCACATTCCACTGAAACAATAACTACAGTTTTTCACCTTCTCTTCTTTATTTTATTTTATTTTTCTTTATTAAGAAATTTTCTACTCACTCCACATACTATCCTCAGACCCCCTCCTCCCTCCTCCCACCCGCCAGCCCTCTTTCCCAAGCCACCCTGCATCCTCACATCCCCCAAATCGAGGTCTCCCATGGGGAGTCAGCAGAGCCCAGCTCAATGAGCCTAGGCAGATCCAAGCCCCTTCCCATTGCACCAAGGCTGCGCATGGTGTCACACCACAGGCACCCGATTACCAGAGGCCTGCCCATGCACCAGGGACAGATCCCGATTCCCCTGGCTGAGTGTCCCCCAAACAGTTGGAGCCAAACAACCGTCTTCCATGTCCAGAGGGCCTAGTCCAGACCCATGGGGGCTCCACAGCCACCAGTCCACAGTTCATGGGCTTCCACTAGTGTGGTCCGTCATCTTTGCACATCCTCCCATCATGATCTCGACGTCCCTCGCCTGCAGTATCTATCCTCTCTCTTATCAATTGGATTCCCGGAACACAGCCTTCACCTTCACTTCTTGCTCTTTATTTTGGAGCATGACAATAAATGGCTGTAAATTCCTCAGATGATGCTAGAAGCAGCAGATACAGAAACATAAATGGGTCCTAACAATGCAGGATAATATCAGATAGCAGGGCTTGTCTGAGATCGTGCATAAGACAGGCTCAGAACTCACAGATGACTTCCTGTTAGAGACAGATAGGCTACAATGATTTACTTGAAGTTTTGAGTCAGTGGGGTACAGATCTGACTGAGTCTTGAAAAATCCTATGAAGAGGCCTGGAGACCAGGAAAGCATTGACATGTCTGAAATGGAAGTATTTCATTGGAATATTGATGCTGCAATAAAGCTAAGTTTAAATGAAGAGGGCCTATGGGAAGAAGCTTGGAGTAAAACCTAAAATGATGAAAGGATATAAAAGCTTTTCTGTTGAGCATGGTAACTTACGTGGTATCTTGAGAGGATGACTGGAAGCCTAGAGACCCCACGGGATGACTGGAGTAGTTATCTAGACATGCTGTGATGGTGTTTCAAACTGAGAGACTAGGAGTTAGACAGACTTCCTGGTAGGTAGACAGATAGGGAGATGGGTTACAGCTAGGAAATAAAGGTGACAAATCTCCAAGATGACTGACATCTTCTTTTCTGTGGTGGTTGAATAATAATGGCCCCATAGGCTCATATATTGGGGAGTTTAGGTCACCAGAGAGTGAACTGTTTGAAAGGAGTAGAAGGTGTGACCTTTTTAGAGGAAATGTGCCTCTGGGGGTGGCTTTGAGGTTTCAAAAGCCTATGCCACCAGAATTTCCCCTCTGTCTCTCTCTGTCTCTGTCTCTGTCTCTCTCTCAGCCTATGGATCAGGATGGAACTCTCAGCTACTTCTCCATCACCATGTCTCATGCAAAGTGTCCATGTTCCCTGCAATGATGATAATGGACTAAACCTCTGAAATTGTAAGCAAGAAATTGCTACCAGGGGTTGGGATATATCTGTGATGGGCCTGGCCATGCTGAGTTGGAAAATGTGAACTTTGGTACTTTGGACTAGAGAAGTGGGTGAACACTTTAAGTGGTGCTTACTGGGCTATCCTACAAGGAACATGAACAGTGGTGCTGAGGGCAATGTAAATTATGGCAGCCTGGCTCAAGAAGTTTCATTGGGGATGAATATTGGTAAGTGGCCTGGAGACCATTCTTGTGATATTTTGGAAAAGAATAAGGCTGCTTTTTGTTTCTGCCTCAAACACCTGGCTGAGGCTAAATTGAAGAGTTTTGAATTAATGTTGTTGCCAGAGGATATGTTAAGACAGCTTAGTATTTACTCTGTCATGTGGTTAACAGTAATCACTCTTATGCAGACCTATCATGAAAAGGAGAATTCTGGACAAAGGTAAACACAAAATGTCCATGTCGAGGAGAAAGGGTGCATCAAGAAATGTAATGGGACAAAGTCTAGTTGTCAAGGAGATAAAAAAACTTAAAGGAAACCTGGTGCTAAATGATATAAGGGGACTAGTGACTTCAGGGCAGTACCCTGCCAAGTAAACTTCCAACTCGTGAAAAGGGATTAAAGAAAACCTTAAGCAGTGAAAGAAACTATCAACAACAGAAAGCTGATGCAAACAGAATTGAAAGAAGGGACCCAAGCGCCAGCCCCATCAAGCAGCAGAATTTGGTAGCATCACCCACACGGCAACTATCTCAATTGTGTGAAGTGTGAAGCTGAGTGAGAAACTGCTTTTACCCTTCTCAACTTTAAAACCTCTCTCTATCTCCTTGTGTATGCT